GAGTTAAGTTTAAAATCCTAGTCTTCTGACTCCAGCACTTGCCTAGGGTCACACAGCCAGTAGGTGTGAACAGGGAGACTTGAATTCAGATCTTTATCCACTATCCTGCACTACTTCTCTTTTTCCATGAATGGAAACAGGCAACAATAGCAAATGATGGAATAATAATAGAATAGAAATAGAATAATAGCTAATAATAGAATGAAGTTGTTCATTCCTTATATCATTGAACCCTCACAGCACATCATGTCAGCAGGCTCTACAGGTATTATCTCCCTATAATAGATGGGCAAACCAAAGTTCAGAGAGAAGAATGAGGTTTGCCCAAAGTCATAAGTTGAGAGAAATGGAGGATCTTCAGGCATTAGGAGAAGGGGTCCCCCCTTGATCTCCAGCATACCCAGGTTCCTGAAGTACAGCACAATTGGAGGGAGCAAAGAACCAAGTAACATGCAATGGTGCTTGGGAATGTTTGCTTAATGTGGCCATGTCTTGGGATGATCAGTCAAAGGTTGGGAAGGTATTATCTGAAGAAGAGACAACGCAGTGGTCTTCTGATCTAAATCCTATGACCTAATGCATCTTTCCTTTACTGAGCAAATAAATGAATTTTGTTGTTGTTCATTTGTTTGGGTCATGTCTAGATTCTTCATGACCCTGTTTGGGGTTTTCTTGGCAGAGATACTGGAATGGTTTGTCAGTTTCTTCTCCAGCTCATGTTAGAGATGAGGAAACTGAGGCAACCAGGGTCAAGTGACTTCCCCAGGGTCACACAGCTAGTAAATGTCTGGAGCCAGATTTGAATTTAGGAAGATGAGTCTTCCTGACTCCAGGCCCAGCACTCTATCCACTATGGAGCCACCTAGCGGTCCAAATAAGTGAATATCAAAAATAGTCCATTGCATCATAGATTTAGAGCTACAAGGAAAGTTAGAAGTCATCAAATCCATCTCCCTCATTTTACAGTTAAGGAAATTGGGGTCCAGAGAAGAATACTGACAGATAAAAAGGGAAGCGGGACCTGGATATAAATTACACCTCTGAGGATTTACCTTTGTGATTTTGGGCCAGTCACTTTACCTCCAGGGCCTTAGTTTACTCATCTGTAAAATGAGGGAGTTAAACTGAACTTTGTCTGAGATCTCTTCCAGCTCTAGATTTAGCATCCTAAGAATAAGAACCTAAGCAGGAGAACGGGGATTTTAGCACAGTTTATCAGACTCTGTAATCTTCCATTTGTAGCATTCAATCTTCTTTCCCCCCCTTCCTTTATTTTCTAAAAAAAAATGAAAAGCTTTTCTATCTCACCCTCCTATCACTCCCACAATTGAATAATAAAAAAGGAAAATAGAAGTCTCATAATGAATACCTGTTGTCCGGCAAAACCCATTTCCACCTTGGCCATGACTAACAATGCCTGCCCATCCCCCTTCTCTGATCCCCTCTGGTCAGCAGACTTCCTTTAGGGTCTGTGGGATCACTGCACTGATCAGAATTCTAAAATCTTTCAAAGTTCTTTTTCTTTATAAGGCTATTGTCGTTGTATAAATTGTTCTCCCTCTTCTTCTCACTTTGCTCTGTGTCAGTCCAAAGGGGTCATCCTCACTGTGACAGGCAAAATATTTGCTAGATTCCCTTCCCCAAGACCTTGAATACCACAGCCCTGGAGGTTACAGACAAAGGCAGGAGAGGAAGAGTAGCCCTGATTCTTGAGGCACAAAATTGATCTCTAGCTCCCGCTGAATCCCTCCCTCCTACTCCCATGGTTATTTTTTTGCTGTTGGTTTCACCCCATTGCTTAACTTAGTACTTTGCAAATCATATCTTCCCACCAGCTGGACTCACCTGCTGTCATTCCGAGTGCCAGAGAAGGCTGTGCTGAAAAGTAAGAGAAGAAGGAGACTCCTTCTGGTATAATAGAGAACACTGGATTCAGAGTCAGAGGACTCAAGTTCTGATGCACGCTACCTATGTGACCTTAGACAGGCCACATTCCCTCCCCCCTTTTTTGAGCCTCAGTTTCTTCACATTTAAAAGGTAGGGGCTATGAATATTTAAAAGGAATAGCAAGTTGTACATAATAGACTTGCAGTTTCATATATTATCATCTTTTCCTCCTATTCTATTGTTATGGAAATGTTTGTTGTATTTCTTAAGTTTAGAATAAAATGAATAAAATTTTTCAAAAATAGAGTACTATCATGAAATGATGAAGACGACAAATTCTGGGAAACAAAGGAAGACTTCTATGAACTGACCCAGAACATAGTAAGCAGAAAGAATAGAATGGCAGCTACGAAGACTATAGCAACATAAAAGAAAACAACACTAAAAGGAAGACAAATTGGAAGTGATCACAGTGACCAGTATTGGTCCCAGTGAGTAGAAGATGAAATACTCCTGCCTTCTTTTGGTAGACTTACGGGGGTGGCAGCTTCTGGTATGGAATGTTGGAGTTGGCACAGACCTATGATCTCACTGGCATAAGTTCTGGAGTTCCCAAGAAGGGGCTTCCTCTATAAATTCCAGGGCTGGGGCTACCTGGTCCTGTTTCTGCTCTGCCTCTATGGCTTCTACTACCAGGCTTTTGTGATAGGTACTTGAATAAATTGTACTAACTTCTGTTGAACAAAAGCGAATGGGACCCCTAGAGGGAGTAACCCAATGGGTCTTGCACCTGTCTTGCAAGGTTGTTGCCAGGATCAAATGAAAAAGTACCTATAAAAAGTGCTTAGCTCAGTGCCTGACACATATTAGGTGCTATAGAAATGCTTATTCCCTTCCCCTTCTCTTACTGGAGGGAGGGCAGCCGGGTCCCTGCTCTGACAGTTCATTGCCTCTCAAGCTGCAGTCCTTTGTTTCAGGAGGGATGATCTTGCCACAGTTTTGAGGGCACTATGATTTCCTTTAGCTTTGGATTTTCAGTGTTCCCTTGGATAGGTGGTACCTGGGCACCCTCTACAGGCATTGGGGGGATTTGCCAGCTCTGGGAAATAATGAGTTAAGTCCTATTCAGCAAGGAATGAGTTACTCACTGACTTCAGGCTGTTTCCCCATCTGTAAAACAGTGACAATAATAACAGTTATAACTGTATCACAAGGTTATCGTGAGGCACAAATTAAATAAATGATATAAAACATTTTGTAAACCTTCCAGTATCCTACTTAGTCCTTTTTCATTATGCATCAGAATATTTGTAGTCAACTTTTTGTGGTAGCAATGAAATTTGTGAAGAAAGTAGGTCCTCATAATAAAGGGATTGACTGAAGAAATTGTTGTATATGAATGAAATATATTATTATGCTATAGGAAGTGACACCTAGGATGGAGACAAGAACAGTGGGAGGAAGGTGCTATTATTATTAACCTCATTTTATAGCTGAGGAAACTGAGGCAGTCAGGAGTTACGTGACTTACTGAGGGTCACATAGCTATTAAGTGTATGAAGCCGGATTTGAACTTAGATCTTCCTGACTCCTGGTCCAGCACTCTGACCACTGCTCCATGTACTGTCCTCAAGTATCGGGAAGTTCAATGACTTGTCTAGGGTCACACAGTTATGGTTTTCTTGACTCTCACACAACAGCTACAATAAGGTAGTTGAAAACAAGGCAAGAGGCACCTAAACTCAGTTTAGATGCAAAGACCAAGCTCCATCCGAGTCTGTCCCTTCTTTTCGCTGAATGAATATGTTGGGTCTACCGCTGGAGTTGCCTATGATGATAGATGTAGGGACCGTAACCGTTTTGATTTTGGCTCGAATGTCTGTTGCTGTTGTTGGTACATTGTGAAGGGGGGTACCGCACAGCCAAGTGTTGTATATTGGGAAACAGTGCTAGAGTCAGAGGCAAAAGGCATCAAGAGAGCAGAATGGTTATGAGCGGTGTTCTCTTTAGCCCCTGTAGGGATCTCTTCATCAAAGGACAACAGGGTACTTGGCTGCCTGAACACCGAATATGTCGACAACTTTGTCATACAGAGAAGTGTTTAATGGAGATGAGAGAGAATACATGATTTTGAGGAAATTTCTAGGTCAGTACAAATTCAATGAATGATTTGAATTGATTGGAAATATAATTCAAAAGATGATAAATTTAGAGTTCTATGGACGTTAACAATTATCTAAACCAATGACCTCCAATTTACAGATGGGGAAACTGAGGCTCACAGAGATGGATTGACTTGCTCAAGGTTACATAGGTAATAAGGAATGGAACTCAGTCCTCTGATTTCGAATGCAACAGTCTTTCTTAACAATAGCCCTAAAAGTTTAAGAAACACAAGTCTTCCTAGAAATAGGACGGACATGGATTACATTTCCTAGGTGGAGCTGGGCCTACCCTGACACATGTCCATTAAAACTTCCTTACTCCAGATCTGACAGAAAGGAAGAAAGAAAGGGACATGGAAGTAAGGGAAAGTATGGAGAGGAGGGTTCTATTGAGCATCATTTCTATCCAATAGACTTGAATCAAAAGAACCAAAGAAAAGAAATAGGACAAAGAAGAGAGGAAGAGACTCCTCCAAAAGGCCAGAGAATCCTGAAGCCCTTCCCATGGCTTCCAGTTTGGTCAACTCACGTTTTACTTTCTTTCTACTTACTGGAATCTATTTCCATTCCTGGGTTTTCCAGATGGCTAGAGGCAGTTTGGGACCTTCTGAATTCTAAGTTTTCTACTGGATATGAGACCCAGAGGGGGTGCTCCACTTCTCTTTTCAATGGACAAGTCAGTTTTGAATCACGGAAGGATTACCTATTGAACAACATAAACCCTCTGATTCACCTTGATCATGTGACTAGTTGAGGCTTACATTCTATTCTAGCTCAAACCAAATGGGGGAGGGTGAGCTATTCTACTCTACCTATTTATAACATCTAGAAAGGGGACCTTAACCTGGGATGTGTAAACTTATTTTTTTAAAAAAATTCTGATAACTGCATTTTAATTTAATTGCATTCCTTTCTAATCTTATGTATTTTATCCTATGTATTTAAAAGCAATCATCTGAAAAGGGGACCACAGTCTTCACCAGACTGCCAAGGAGGAACATGTTGGAAAACAAAAGTTAAGACCCCTGAGATAAGCAGGTAGGTCCTGGTTTTCCATTCCCCATCTAGTATGGTGTAATATATATGCATTGGATTGTCATTAGAAGACATGTTTAAATTCCTGCTTTGATATTTACAGAAGCTACGTGACTTTGGGTGAGTCACTTGGCCACTCTGTGACTTAATTTACTCATTTGTAAAAAGAAGAGGCTTGGACTAGAATTCAATACTTCTTGAACTGTGGGTCACAACTCCATATGGTGTTGTGAAAAATTTGGCAAGAATAAAATCTGAAAGCATGATTATCAAAAATTAATTAAAAATCAAATGTGTAATGTATCTGAGGTGTTTCTGGCATTGCTTGCCCATGTTGCACCATGCAACTTCACTGCAGCTTTGATTCTGAACACACAGCATGTGCACTTTGCATTGCTTATTCTGGCACACCACGGGATGCCCATGAATGCTGCTGAAACACTAAAAGTCATGAGTGGAAAAAGTTTAAGAAGCCCTGGATTAGATGACATCTGAGGTCCTCCAGCTCTAAATATGCCTTTTGATATTCTTAGGATCTGTATTTCAGGCTAGAAGAGAACTTCAAGGTTATTTAGTCCAGGCCTTTTAGTGTACAGGTGAAGAAGCTGATGCCTTGAGAAGCTGAGTGACACAGTGGTATAACTGCTACTAAGCAATCCCTATTAATTTTGCAGCCCACTGAACTTCCTAGATATTTTCCCCCATGAACTTTCATGTAGCCAAACCTCTGCTACCCTATACTGGTTAGGCTGATTTTTTTGGACACCAAGTGTAGGATTTTAGTTAATCCCTACTAGATTTCATGAGATCATATGTGATCTATTGTTACAGCCTGATGAGATATTGTTAGATCCCAATCTTCCTTCTTGAGATGAAAGTGACATAGTCAGACCTTGATGTAAGAAGATTATTTTGGCAGCTATGTGGAAGATGAGTGGGAAGAAATTCAAGCAATTAGTCAATCAATAAACATGTATTAAGTGCCAAGTATGTGCCAAACACTTGGGTATACAAATATAAAAAAAGAAAGCCAGTCCTCGCCCTCAAGGAACTCGCAATTCAAAGAGGAAAAACAAGGTACAAAAGGAAGATGAAAAGGGTGGAGGCACTAAGGAACATAAGGGAGGAATCCAAAGGAGTGAAAAAATAGATTAAAAAAACCCCTCCAAATACCTATTAATAAGAGAAATGCCAAAAGAACAACCCTCAAGTTCTACATCACACTCATGGGATTGACAAAAAGATGACAGAAGATGACAAAAAAGGAAAATGACAATTTTAGGACAGACTGTGGAAGGATAGGCACAAGAATATACTGTTGGTGGGTGTGTGAATTAGTACAGCCATTCTGAAAAAAGCAAAAATCACCAAACTGAAATTATACTTCCTCCAACTGGAATCACTTAGCTGTGACCAGATCACCAGCTTTTTGACTTAGAAATGCCATTACCAGGTCTATACCCTCAAAGAGGTAAAAGATAGAGGAAAGGTATCCATGTGTACAAAAATAATTATAGCAATTTGTTTTTATAAAAAAAAAAGAACTGAATACAAAGGATATACCCATTATTGGCAAGTGATTGAACAAGTCATGGAATGCATTTGGAATGGAATGTAATTCTACCATAAGAGATGATACATATGACACATTCCAAGAAACTTGAAGAGCTTTGTAGGCAGAATAAGGGGAATAATTTACACAATGACTGCAATAATGGAAAAGAAAAGAAAACTTGGAAAATCTTCCCAACTCTCATCAATACAGCTATCAGTCATGATTTTGGAAGATAGAGGGTGAGGCATGCTTCCCCTCCCTTGGCAAAGAAGTGGAGAACCACTGGTGCAGAATGATACATACATTTTCAGACATGGCCAAAGTACTGATTTGTTTTGCTTGACTACACTTATTTTGTACAAAAGAGGATTATTGTTGAGAGGATCAGTTAGTGGGGTTGTGATAAAGAAAAAACGCTTCCCTTTCCTGCTGAAAAGAAAGTGATGTCCACAGAGCTAGGCCCCTATTAGTGTGAATAATGGATCCCCTGAAGTGGTTACGTGTATTTGAATTCACACTACGCAAGATTATAATTATTGTAAGATAGGGTTACTGGTTCTAGCCTCGTGGAATTGGGTCCTGCCCATAAAGCTTTTGGAAATAGAAAAAAGAAAATGAAAAATTTAGAAAGGAATACAAAGCGATAGGTCTAGTTAGTATACTTTAAAGCTGTATGTACTAGGACAAAAAGAAATGAGGAGAAGGGAAAGACTAGAAAGAAGGAGAGCAGTTAGGAGATTATGACAGTAGTCCTGGTTAGAGGCAATGAAGGTCTGAATTAGGTTGGTGATAGTGTGAGTGGCCAGAAGGAGAGAGATGAGAGAAGTATTTTGAGAGAAGAATTGACAAAGCATGGCCACTGGGTTGAATATGGGGCTGAGGGAGAAGCCAGAGTCAAGCATGATACCAAGGTAATGAACTTTGGGTTAACTGGAGGGTGGTAGTGTCCATGACATAAATGGATGTCTCCAGGAAAGACAAATCTTCAGGTCAAAAGACTGATGAGGATTTCAGTTTTGAAAATAGCAAGTTAGCGATAGTGATAGAATATCCACATAGAGATGTCCACCAGGCAGGTAGTGATGGGGATGTAGAGCCTGGGAGGAATGTGAACTAAAATGATGACTGAACCCACTGGGTCTGATGAGATAACTAAGGGAGAGAGTGAAGGGTGAGAAGAGCATAAAAAACTGAACAGAATTTTGAGAAATATCTACTCTTGGGGGCAGGGAAAGGGGAGTTAAAAGACACATAATGAACCAATAGATTTAAAGGAACTTAATTTTTTATCATTTCATATGAATTTTGATTTTACTTATCTGTGTGCAATTCATTTCCTGCCAATAGAATACAAGCTTCTTGAATAAATTAACTAAATACTAAAATGTTATTAATCACTTAGTATTTACCAAGTAGGGCAGCTAGGTGGCACAATGGATAGAGGGCTGGGCCGGAATCAGGAAGACTCGTCTTTGTAAATTCGAATCTGGCCTCAGATAGTTACTAATTGTGTGACCCTGGGCAAATCACTTCACCCTGTATGCCTCAATCAAGTTGGAGAAGGAAATGGCAAACCACTCCAGTATCTTTGCCAAGAAAATCGCAAATTGAGGTCACAAAAAGTTCGACACAACTGAACAACCACAACAAATTTACCGTATACTCTAAGTGCTAGAGATACAAATAAAAAAGCAAGACATTCCCTATCTTGAAGATGCTAGCATCCCTTTGAGGGGACACAACACCCAAAGGGTAGTGGTGGCTAGGCAGGGTCACTGGTCCAGATAGATAGTTGAGAGGAGCATAAGTGGGCCGTGAAGGAGAAGGTTGGCATATACCTTCTAGTAGCAGTGGGATACTTGATTTGATCAGCATTACAAAAATAGAAGGCTGGGGTAGAAGAGTTATAGCCAGGGAGTAGTGGCAGAAATGGAGCATGACTGGGTTTGGCCTGGAGTAGTGGGTGAGGCGGGATGGTCACTAAACACAGTGGGGATCTAGGGTGAAAGAAATCCACCATGGTCTCTGTTCTAGGTACTAAGGCTGCAGAGGAGAACATGGTGTAGGGAGGAAAGTGACATCCCTGCAGGGGATCTGTGTCTTTGTAGCACCAGCACCTTACACGGAGCAAGCAATGAATCCCTGTTAGTGGAAGGTTTGCTGTTTGTTGTTGAAAAGGAAAAATCAGACAAATATAAGGAAAACCAGGAGAAAGTTGTGCCTTGGGAGCCAAAGGAGGGTCTAGGAGGATGGCTGGTAGGTTGAAGAGAACAGCACTTAGGGAAGGGTTATCCTAAAGGAGGAAGAGCATAGGCTTGTAGACATACAGCTGGGAGAGAGCCCAGATGCTGTCAGAGACCTCTTCACCTTCATCCCAAGCCCCCAATTTCAGCTCCCCATCCTACACTATTGTAAGTGATGAGATTGCCTCCTCATTGAAAGGATCATATGATCTTGAATCTAGAATGGGAAGGAACTTCAGAATCCATCTAGTCTCATCCTCTCATTTTACAGATGAAGAAACTGAAGCCCAGAGAGGTAAAGGGACGTGTCCAAGGTTATTCAGTTAGAGGTAGGATATTCCTCTGGGACTGAAGGGAATGATGAGAAAATAAGTAAGGAAATAGTTTAGGGCAGTAAGAAGTTACTGTATCCACAGCTCCTTGTACCTAGTTATTAATAATTGTAGAAATGAATTAGATTTTCTTGTCCATAAAAATGGAAGAGATCAGCTTAATGGCTTCTAAGGTCCTCTATGGCTTGAAATTTGGGATCTGATCAACTGAATTGATCATCATGTAATCCCTGATTTTCTCAGCAAAGTAGGAGGCAAGGTCTTCATCACCTAGTGTATAGAATGGGGGGGGGCTGAGAATGAGGGCTTGGGGAAAGGCAAGTGAAGGTCTGGAATAGCTGCTGATGAGAGTGGGGTGCTGAAGACAAAGAAGATGAATTAAGCTGGAAAGTGCAGTGGCCTCTGGTCCACTTGAACTTGAGGCAGACTTGGTGGTGGGTTCTGGTTCAGTTCTACAATCCTTTACAGTAGCCAGGTTTTCAGTGTTTTACTAGCTGTAGCCTAGGGAGCTGCAATCCCACCATGGGTCAGTTCACTTCACTTTTCCTTTCCACAAATATCCACAAACCATGTGGATAAACACCTAAGGTCAGGCAGGGAGTCTGGGGTGAGAGAGAGAACATTCATCTCTGAATGATAATTGGTCTCCCTTATGGATGACTTTAACCAAGATGGGGACAGCAACTCACACAGATTTCAGCCATAGAGAAGTACTTCATATACTTTAAATATTCATCTGATTTATGCCACACTCCTATCATACACACATTAAAAATAGAAAAGAGATGTATTATTTTCTTGAATAGGGCTTATCGTTTTACAGATTTGGCTATGTCAACGTCCTTGAAAATATTAAAGTATAATTATAAACATGTTGCTAAGAGACAGGCACCAGATACAATACAATTCAAATCATTGCAAGTGGCCAATAGAAGTGTTGCTAACTGGATTACTTAAGAAAGGAAGAACAGAAATTAGCAAGTGCTGGTAGACAATTGGGACGGTCATGAGCTGGTATTTGGAGAATGTCTGGGCTTTTTTAGCAGAATGAAATTCTGACCCAAGTGAGCCCTTGGCACTTAAGAATGGTACAAGTGCACGGAGGGTCCCAAGACTCCTGATGTGGGCATACCTTTCTGTCTCATATCCTATATTGTAACCGGCAGGGAGTCAGTATGGAAGCAAGCAATATGTGTAACTATGTTGTCCCCTCCCTGGGAATCTTCTGTCTTTTGGCACAAGACTATCAGAATGAGACCACCATTAGGACTACATTTTTTTGAAATTTATCTTTTATGAAGACTAAAATTAGTTTTATCTAAACTTGCTATCTGCCCCAGTGCTTATACATAGTGGGTGCTTAATAAGTGTTGAATGTATGAGTGAAAGAATCCTATCAGCAGTCGCACTTGCCCTGTGGGCTAGCTTGTAGGGGCTAGCTTCCTGAGAAAGTGAGAGTCTATGATGATGTGGTATTGGAAGATGCTTCATGCTCTGTCTCATATAAGGAGATTAACTGAAATTCTGCCCCATTACCCTAAGGTCATGTTTGAGAGCAAAGACATAACAAACCCAGTCTATAAGATCAGTGTGCACCCCGTCCCTCAAAACCAGGATTATCGAGGGATTTCACTGCATTAGGAAAGAAGTTAAGCATCTAGACACCATTTCCACCTGAGGGAAAACTTTCTTTCATTATTTGAACCTAACCCTGTATGGTTGAGAGATCAGACTTGTTGCTTGGAGACCACATTTGTTTAATGCCTAACTCAGGATTTCCAAGTTATTCTGACCCCAAAAATCTTCCAGGAGGTCTGAAGATTGATGTAAGAAGCTTTCTCCTGGTATGCAACTTAGGTGACCTACATGTCTTATCTGGAAATTACATCCACATTGGCCAATTGGCTATTGTTTCATTGCTCCTTTGTTTGAAACTTAGACAATGAATAAGTCATAGAGGTTCAGGGGAGGGGGCCACCAATTTAGGCTCTCCCTTCTGCAGGATGACTTTAATAAACTTAAAACTTTTTTTTTTCAGTTCTGGCTTTGTTCTCAACTGACATCCTTCTATTCTTGCCCAATAGCCACGGGGTTCTAGCTGCATTCTCCAGGAATGATATGAAATCATATGTTTCCCCTTGGATTGAGTTCAGGTCTGAGACTTCCAACATTTGCTATGCACTTCTCTTCCATTATGATGTCTGTGAAAGCATTCCATGCTCCACTGATGTCAGGAAGCTTTCATCCACACGTCTTTCTTCTCGAAACAGTAAGTCAGTCCTTCCATATCTACTCTATTGATAATTTCTCATCCCAGCACTACAGTTAGTTCACAAAGAGAAGGGAAAAGTAGAGAAGTTATTATTTGTTCTCAGCCTGACACCTTCTGCCTCCGTGCCTTTATAAAGACAATTCCTGTTATATAGAATCCACTCCCTCCTCATATCCTTTCTTTTCCTTCAATTCTCAGTTCACGTTACTTTCTTTAAGTAAAGTAAGGAGCCTATCACGACCCCTCCAACTGAAACTGTCCCAAGGAAAAAGGGTATAATGGAAAATTATTGTGGTCTATAGTCAATAAACATTTATTAATCACCTACTATATGCTTAGCATTGTGTTAAGCACGGGGGTGGGGTGGGGTGGAGGGGTGGTATAAATATGAAAAGGAAAGACAGTCCCTGCCCTCAAGTTTACAATCTAATGGAGAAGACAACCTACAGAAGGAAACTGAAAAGAGGAGTGGGAGGTACCTGGCTCCAGGGCATGGTGAATATATCAGAGGAGTCCCAAAGTAGCGCAAGTCAGATGGGAAATGAGGAGATGGCTATTCCAAGACCCTTCTTTAAATTGATATTTTGGAGTTTATGGCTCTAACCTCCAATCCAAGGTGGGGTGGGTAGTGGGGAGGTATGAGTACCAAGGCTGAGTCAATTCTGTAGGATGATGGGGCTTCTCAGTGATGAGGTTCCTGGGGCATGGTGAAGTGAGAAGTAGTGCAACCAGATGCAGAATGAGGTGGGAAAAGCAAAGGTAGAAATAAAAGTGTGAAGACCAACCAATCCCAGAATTTGATTTCTTTTTTGCAGCCAAAGACAAGGTTTATTAGGACATCCATCACATTAGCCAGACTCTTAAAGAATCTGAGCATTACTGAGCTATTGGCTAGATTATAAGAATCTGAGCAGTGGCCAGATTTTAAGAATCTGAGCACTTTAATGGAGACTAGATGGACCTTATTATACAGAGTGTGGGAGAGATCTGACTGTGGGACAGATCTAGGAGTGGCCAAGTAGTCTGCTGGGGACTGTGAGGTAATAGAATGCCAGAGACCTGGACCACATGGCCAAGGGAGAATGGACCCTAGCTAGGATTAAGGGTAGGAAGTGTATGTGGGTGGGGCATAGGGAGATAAGACAATGGAGGGCTAGACTAGGTTAAGGATAACAGAGAATTGGGAGATTGGGTAGGATTAAGGGTAGGAAGTGTATGTGGGTGGGGCATAGGGAGATAAGACAATGGAGGGCTAGACTAGGTTAAGGATAACAGAGAATTGGGAGATTGGGTGTAGCCACAATGAAAAACAGGTTGATGGGATTACAGCCTTTGGCAAACACCAGAGATTTGGCCATGTGGGAAAGTCCAGGGTTTTTCCTTTCTGGCATCCAGATCCCAACCCCACCAGAATTTGATTCTTGTAAGTGATTTTAGTTTCTACCTGATTCAGGAATTTTTAACCTAGGATCTATAGACCCCCAAGGTGTCTGTGGTTAGATTTCAGGGTGTCCATGAACTTGAATGAGAAAAACAATCACATTATTTCTACTGACCTCTAAATGAAGCAGTTACTTAAAAATATAATTCTGAGAAGGAGTCCATAGACTTTACCAGACTGTCAAAGGGGTCCTTGGGACCAAAAAAAAAAGTTCTTAATGCCTGGTCTAGTCTAATTCATACCTGAAAGAAATTCCTATTGGTTTCCAATCTTTGTATAGCTATCTCATGCATAGTAGGTGCTTAGCAAATTCTTGTTGATCTGAATCAAATTGAAATTATTCATTTGCTGAAAGCCATCTGACTCTCACAGAGATCTGTTTGTCCTGTCTCCTCATTATATGGATTATGTGTAACCCTCAACACCATCATCTGAGAACAGGAACATCTGACAGAAGGTATATCCTGATAAATAATAACACATTTTTAATAGCATTATAAGGTTAACAAAATGCTTTCCTCACAATAACTCTGAAAGACAGGTAGGGCATTTATTGATGTTATAACTTTATTTTAAAAAAAATTAATTGATATCTTTTAAAAAATCACCTTCAGTTCCTAATATGCCCTTTTCTCTCCCACTCCCAGAAAGCCATCCATTAGAACAAAGAATAAAAAGGAAAGAAATAGTATTATCATTTTAAAGATGAGAATATTGAGGCCCAGAGAAGTCATAGTGAAGAGATCTAGGACTTTAGGGTGCTGCTGGAACCCCAAGATTGCAACACCAGGCCCTGCCTGAAAGAATTCAACTCAAATCTTCTTCCAGCCAGAGGAAAAGTTTATTAGTGATAAATCACATAGGCCAGGTAATGCCCGTGAGGACGAGCGGGCATGAGAAAGTCGCAGCCTTTTGGGCTTGAGATTCTCAGCCCTGAATGGGCGCCAGGGTAGATCTTATATACTAAAGTGACTTTGGGTGACCAGGCAAGGGTCTGGGAAAATGGTCTGGGAAAAGGGTCTGGGTGAGAATTCTGATTGGAATGTCTAAGAGAACTGAAATGCATCTGAATGAGATCAAAAAGGTGGGGCTAGGGCTTTCAAAGGGAAATAAGGGGACTTGACAAGGGGAGTCAATAAGGAACATAAAATGGGAGCCAGATTCCCTGTGGGGCAAGGGGCTAAGATCTAGATTTGGGCCACACCCCATCAATAGGATTGTAGAGATGAATGAGACTTTAGACTTTGGTCCAATCCCTTAGCAAATTCTTGTTGATCTGAATCAAATTGAAATTATTTGTTTGCTGAGGATGAAAGATGAAAGATGAGAGAGAGAGAGAGAGGAAAGCCAGTCCTCTAGTCAACAAGTTTCAGCCTCTCTGTTTGTCAGCCTCTCTGTTCCTGCTGCTTTTCAGCTGCATAGGAATCTGTCAGAAAGACAGCTCTATGGGCTTGGGATGACTTGGCTTCATTCTGTTTGATACTGGCCTTCTTGCAGTTCCTCAAACAGTATACTTCATCTCTTGTCTTCAGGCTTTTGCACTGACTGCCCCCATGATGGGAGTGTTCTACTGGTTAACCTTTTACTGGCTTCCTTCCAGATGAAGCTCAGATCCCAAATTACCTTGATGTTCACTGTCTCTGGGCAGCTAGGTGGCCCAGTGGATAGAGCACTCGGCCTGGAGTCAGGAAGTCATTTGACCCTGTTTGACTCAGTTTCCTCATCTGTATAGTGTGCTGGAGAGGGAAATGCAAACCTCTGTAGAATCTTTGCCAAGAAAACCCATATGGGGTCACAAAGAGCTGGGAATGACTGAAAAATGACTGCAAAACAACAACAACATGTTGTGTGTGTATGTGTATGTGTATAATCTATGTGTACCAAAATTTTTGCATGTTATCTCTCCCATTAGAATATATGTTCCTTGAGGGTAAAGACTGTCTTTTGCCTTTCATTGTATCCCCAGTGCTTAGCACAGTGCCCTGCACAGAATAAGTGCTTAATAAATGTTTATTGACCAATTACAAGCAGTTTCTTTCAGCAGCTTCTCAGATCTCCCTCCTGTCCTTGGCTTCTTCATTCACAGACTCCTGCTATTTTGATCTATCTTCTAATCCCTCAAATCAGGATGTCCTGAGGAGCCTCGATGCATCTCTAACTTAAAGTTTGGGTTGAAAAATCTCAATCCATTTTATGTTAGATGTATTTTTAAGATATATTAGATATGATTAAAATTATTTTCTTATATGCCACAAATAATCTACATACCATAGTTCTGTGGTCTCAGAATAGTTCTTTGATTCAGAGTTTCCTAGCAATAACCTTCAAAGTTCTGGAAATAGTCATATTCAAAATATCTGTTGGGAAATGTATCTCTATCACTAGTTAATACCTTTCCCTTTGAAGAGCTTTCCTTTCTCTGATCCTCTTAAAATCTAAGGGACTGATTTTTTTTCTCTTGGGTTCTCTTAGCACAGTCTGTGGTTTTTCCTCTAGCTGTTTTTTTTCTTCTGTTTTACACAAGATGTCCTTTTCCTGTCTCTTTCAACAAACAAAATGTCAATATAGGAAAACAACAGAATCCTATATGGATATATAAGGACAGAGATAATTTCACAGTGAAGCTATGGGTGTGAAGTTTTATGGTTTATTATATAACCTGGGGTATAGAATCTTATTCCTGACTGTGGCCAGGGATCCATGGTGGGGCAGGGGCAGAAATAACAGAGAAAGGCTAATGGAGTTACCCCCTCTCACTCTATTCCAATCCAATTGAATCTATTTTAATCTAGTGAGTGTTTATTAAACTTACTGAGCACAAGGTTCTATGCTAGGAGATAGGAATACAAATAAAACAATAATCAACCAACAAGCATTCATTAAGTACCTACTATGTGCCAGGCACTGAGGTAGTTGATGGGGATGAAAATGTTAACATGAAAATATTTCCTGCTGCAATGGAATACTATTGTGGTATAAGAAATCATGAGCAGAATGCTTTAAAAAAACAACAACCTGGAAAGACTTATGTGAACTGATGCAAAGTGAAACTGTTGCGGCTGAGAGGTTGAGAGGTTGTGACCCCTCAAAGACCAGAGTACAGGACGGGTTGTCTGGAATGAATTCACAGACTCAAGCATTCTTTAATTCAAGGTGGCAAAGATTTATTGTTACGCCTTTCAGCGGGCAAGGATTCTTAAAGGATCCTGCAACCTTAAAGAGGTACAGGTAAAGTTTATATAGGATAAAATGCAATAAAACATACGTCAAATATGCTAACTAGGGGATTCAGGGTGGGATTAGGGAGTGGTTAAGGAGTGGTCAGTTCTCAATTGAAACTCAAGATAAGAAAAGTCCTATTATTCAAGAGAGTATCTGGTCCCAGACATCCTGGGCCCAGTGATAACAAACAGAAGAATACTGATGAGCTCTATCTGGTCCTGGAATTTGCTGACACTGGAAGGGGTGTTTTTAGTTCACTCAGAGAGAAAAAGATTAATTTAGGTTTTTGGCCCTTATTGGGGCTCAATTGATCTTAAATGATTATCAAGGGACA